CCTGATAAAAATGATAGTCTATTCTCTGGTAGTTTTGGAGTTCAAAGCAAGAAGCAATGCCACAAATTGTATATTAGTGAAGATGCCTCTTAGTTCTTCCAAAATGCAGATTTATGCTTCATTTTGGGTTTTTAATAACTTTAAAAAGCATGTGTCTTATGCAAACCTTCCAGAAACATATTAGCCAACATAGCTGCAGCTTTTTAATTTTTGTAATTGTCATAAGAAATAAAGAAACTTACAGCAGATAATTATGTGACAACAGTATAACCACTAATGTGAAAATGGCTTCAACAAAAGTAACTTTCCAGCATTAATTATAATAAATGAGATTCTTTAGTTAGAGACAACGAGAAAAGGGCATTTTATATTTATACTAGGATTATACTTAACATTTTTTCTTACACTTTAAGGAGCCATAAATCTAACGTTTTAAATTATTTATGTTACATTCAATTAAAGGTTAAGTTCAGCTAGCTAAGAATAATCATAATCTAAATAAGAAAAATCCATTAAATACTTCATTATGCATTTTTTTAAGGAAAATGGATTTTAATAATTTCAAGCACATAGGTACTTTGGCATACACTGCAGTGTTTTTCTATTCCTTCTGTTGAATTAGAAGAGTAGGTAGACAAGGCTCTGATTCTAGGTCATTCACACTTTCTTTCCTTGTGCACCCATGAACCTCTCTGTCATTGTTGAGCTATTTGAGCTCTGAGCTCTGTTGAGCTCAAGAATGGCTGAGGTCACTGGGCCTGTTCAGCCTGGAGAAGAGGAGGCTGAGGGGAGACCTCATCGCAGTCTACAACTTCCTCGTAAGGGGGTGTTGAGAGGCAGGAGACCTTTTCTCCATTAACACCAGTGACAGGACCCGCGGGAACGGGGTTAAGCTGAGGCAGGGGAAATTTAGGCTTGACATCAGGAGGGGGTTCTTCACAGAGAGGGTGGTTGCACACTGGAACAGGCTCCCCAGGGAAGTGGTCACTGCAGCGAGCCTGACTGAATTTAAGAAGAGATTGGACTGTGCACTTAGTCATATGGTCTGAACTTTTGGGTAGACCTGTGCGGTGTCAAGAGTTGGACTTGATGATCCTTAAGGGTCCCTTCCAACTCAGGATATTCTATGATTCTATTTATGGAAATTTTTCTAGGTTTATTGACCTTTGAACTCTTGTTGCATAGATTAAAGCTCAGTTGCTCTTTTACATGTAAACACATTTTTTCTTTAAAATGCCGGCTTAAAAGATGTTCCTATACTAAAGGTGGTGTTTCATTCTGGTCATATGCCAATTTCTAATCCCTCAGTGGGAGGAGAATGAGGAAAGGGAGGGGGGCGTGTAGAGAGGGACTTTCCTTGCAAGAAGGGCATGAATTCTTCAGAAATATCAGCAGTCTAAAAGAGTAGTGGTGGTTCCCTCCCTGCCCCCACCCCCTTTCCTGGAAAAATTACAGGAGTTTTGTTTCAGTCAAACCTGATTTAAGTCATGTGTTTCTCAAGAAGTGAATTCTATATATGAAACAGAATTCTCTTCTTTGATATTACAGGCAATAATATCCTACAGTGTATTTCTTTATAATCTGCACTTACTTTGGTATACATACTGTTCAGATCTGAAGAACTTCCAAACCTTTCCCCCCCACACCTTTTACATTCAAATTTCACTACTACTACTGTTGCTTATTTTTGTTAAATTTTTTTTTGGAGTTCACTTTACATTATATAATTGCATTTGAACTATTTTTATTGTTTTCATTTATTTTAATATTATGTTAACATATGAAGGAAAAATCCAATTTATAATTTTATTCTCTAGAAAAGCAATGTTCTTTTGATTTCTAGTTACTCTTGGTAGCTGTGTAGGTTTTGAAATCCTTTGGGCTTTTTTAAAATCTTTTTTCTGTGAAGGGTTTGTAGTCAATAGTTGATTATACTAATGGTAAAGGAAATTGTTTGACTTCAAGTATAATAAATGGCAAAATACTTAATGTCTCTTGTGAGTATTACCATCACATCATGATGATAATATATCATGTAGCTTATTAACCTTGCAGGGGTGCAAAAATAAAGCAGCAGGACATGCTGCAGCAGAAATATTTTTTTATCACTGCTTGGTGATTTCCTGTCTTACAGTAAAATACCAAGCAAACTACTAATAACAATGGTAGACATATGTTAAAAAAAAAATCCTAGTTTTTTTCCTACCCAAATGAAGTCTACCATGAAAAAGTTGACATTATTATGCAGAAGATATAGTAGATGACCTAATTCTTTGCTTTGCTTGATTATTCCCTACAGTAGCATGTGCTTAACAGCATGCAAACAGAATATGGGTGTTTTTTACTTAGGTCTCTGAGCAATACAGGACCTTTTGTTAGGGTGCAACATTGCATGGCATATCCAAATAACATAACTTATCCCCTGCATAAATTCTCATCTTTTTATTGTCTGCTGTAAAAAGGAGTGGTTCACTCTAAGGCTTTTTTTTTTTTTTTTTTTTTTTTTTTAAATCTTCAGTTCAAGAAACTACTTTTTATGTAGCACAAAGGAATGTTGTTTGTGGGGAGAAAAAGGAGAAGAGCACAGATTTGACCATGTTCCTATTCTTTATTCAAAGAGTGTTTTACAGACCTGTTTGTTAAAGATACCCAGTCCATACTTGATCTGTAAAGGTCAGTTGTTTATATATCTCCAATCAAATAATAAAGATTGATCTAACATGGCTAGTTTTTATTTTCAAGAAAAATCCATAGGCCAAATCATGTTGGAATTAAAACATTCTTGAAAGACATAGAAAGCATTTCCTTCAGTAAAGCCATGCAACATGGAAGAAGTAACAGCAACTCTAAATATTCATTCTTCTGAAAAGGTTACCTTTGAGATTTATTTTTTTTCATAAAACAGAGACGGTACAGAGTGGAAGAAGCCTCCCACTCAGCAGTCCCATTCTCTCACAGACAACTTTGTCATATACTTCCTGCTATAAATTTGGTTGAGCTCCTTCTTAATATGACTAACAAGAAGGAAAAGCCAATTTTTACACTTCTGTTATGAGGCAGACAGAGTCTACAGTTTTGAAGATGAAAAATGATTGTATGGCCACTTCATTCCTTTTTGTCCTTATGCCTTTAGTCCTTTCCATTTCTGGGCTATGAGATAGTCAAAATTTTCAAGTACAAAATGTTTTGCAGTGCAGTTCTTCATTGAGCCTAAGTCTGTGGTCTCCAAGCCAATGTTCTTCATTTCCTTTATCTGTGTGGAGTGATCCCAAGCTTTAAGCATTTGTTTTAAAGCCATCTAGTATTGGCAAAACCCCACAGATTTGGCAAATTCTCCAGAAGCCTGGATGAAGACTTGTATATGCAGTATTCTAGCTGAGTTGTTGATAACACTTGAGTCCACATGGAACATACATGCAAAGCTGTATATGCAGATATATAGAGAGAACACATTTATGCAGTAGAGAAAAAGTTTCTATAAAATATTCAATTTTTTTCTTTTTTTTTCCCTCTGTTCCTTTTTTTTTTTTTTTTTAAAGAAACAAGAAAAAGAAGAAACAGAAGTGGTAATATCCAATTCCAGATGCAATAATTTTTTTGTGTTAGCAGTGTAGAAATAATTAGTAATGATTCAAGATGTTAGACAAATATTATTTCCACTCTTTGGTATTTGCAGAAATGTTGGTGGTCTTTGCAATACAATATTGCTTTGAATCATTAGAATAATGTAAGGTAGTTTGAAAAACAGACAAACTAACCTGCAAAGAATAAGAGAATATCCAAGTGTTATTTGATACATCATCTTCAATTACACTCCAATTAACATTCTTAAGTTAAAAAAAAGGGAAGACCAAAAATACTTCAGTAGATGTGTTGAATGTTTCTGCATCAAAGTGTCTCTGGAGATTGTGACGTGCATTATTTTTAATTGGATCATGGCTTTAACAATGGTATAAAGTAAGACATGTTCACCACCTATATTCTATAACTTATTTTTGAGAACAAATTTAGTACTTACGATGTAAGACTCGGAGGCCAAGGTGCAGCTCCCTGTTAACAGTTGTTGAAGCTGCAGTTGCTCAAGACCAGAGACAAACCAGTTCATTACGCTGAAAATTGAACTGCAGCTTCTCCAAGCTCTTAAACAGATTAGTTACTCCTTCACTTACATGAGCTGATTCTGGAGCCTGACCATAGGTGCTTCCCTTTACCACTGTCTCTAGGAAGCAGAATACATCCATAGGGCACTGTTACCTATTCCTGTGACATTGACACCTCTTGAAATAACAGAGATGTTGCTTCCCCACTGACAGTGCTCCTAAATCTTGACACAGGTCTCCTCTAACGCAGATGAATGGACTGTAAGATTTTGGTTCCAGTTTCTAAAAATTAGTCAAATTAACTGAGACTATTAGCCAAACTCTAAGCAGGTTAATTAATTCAGGAAAGCACCCATCTTGTCTGGAAGGTAGTAATCACAGCTAGCTTCTGCCATTTGAGCTGAAGATGTGTTGCTTACCAGCTAGAACCCTCACCTGACCACACAACCATCAATAGCAGGTTGAGCTGAGCCACAGTCAGTGCTGCCATGAAGTCATGCTCAGCTGTATAACCTGAGTAGAGCCAGCATTCCTATCTATTGTTCACATTGTAAACAAGTACTCAGGCAGTCACATCTTCACACATACTACTTGCTGGTCATTACAAAAATAAACAAAAAAGTGAGGATCTCTCTCATTCTTGAAAGAAAATACATTTGTTATCTGACAACCAATATAACAAAATCCAAGTACTGCCAGACAGTCAGGGCTTTTCCCTTAGACCATTAGGACTTCTAGGAAGAAAATAATTTCTATTACCTTTATAGTCAGTGTTGAGTGTAATGAGTCACAGCTGTGCCAATGAATCATAACTAACTAACCTGATGGGTAATGCCTGGAGGGTTCTAGCATCTACTAATAAGACAGTAAGTTTGTTGGCTTATGCTTTCAAGTTTCCTCATTTTCTAAAAAATGCAACAGGCAACAATGTTTTTTCTTGAAGTCTGAGTGTATGAGACCTCTACAGGCAAGGAGGTAGACATTCTATCAAATTAAGGGTCAGATTTAAGGCACATCTTGCGATAATAGGGGAGCAAGTGTCAATCTAAACCAGGTCTTACTGAGCATTAATAACGGGCTTATTAAAATTAATAAATAAGGTAGTAATTGCAAATGAGATCATGTATGCTTTAGAGAAGAAAAAGAAAGTTGGCTTATGAGGTGGGAGGTAGAGCTAGCAGATGACTTGGAAAGAAAAATAGTTACTTGTATACTCTGCTTTTCAGGTGCACATCAAGAATAGACTTTGAAACTTTTTAACTTCTGTGAAGGTAACTGTAAATAAATAAAAGAGCTAGAGAAAACAAAAACAAATAATATGTGCTATGTTTGCTGTCCAGAGTTAGCCAATATGAAATTCTGGACACACCTACAGTGCTTCAGTCTTTAGAGCTTAGTCACAAGCTGGAGTAGAGGGAGATGTTTCTTTTCATGTGGGATAGGTTTGTTTGTTATATTTGTTTCATTTTGTTATTTTCTTTTTTTAATATGAAAAGCAGACCAAAAACTTGATTTGAAGCTTATTCAAGCTCCATTTCTTCTTGTATTGGAGACAATAACGTGGGATGAAGCAGCTCTGCACTTGAAGGTGCAAAATGGAATGCAAATTTTATTAACTCAAAATAGAAAACCTGTGAAAGAAATATAATTCTTCTAGATAGGATTCTTTTATGGATGGAAGAAACACCAGTTTCTGAACTGCACATTCAGAAGCCCATGTAATTTTAGTATGTAGGATTTTACAAGGATGTTGAAGAATTGAAAAGTTCTACAGGAGAAACATAAAATGATTTTCAGTTTTTAAAAGTTCTTCAAGTAAGAAGGTTCAAGTTGTCAGTATGTTTTGGTCATTAGCAATAAATGTCATGATGACAGCATTTTTTTTTTCTGTTTAAAGAACATACTTCAGATGTACTTCTCAACTCGAAAATCGATACTAAAAATCCATGCTGAAAGACTTAAGACCAACAAATTGGAAACAATTATAAGGGCAGAGGAGCTCCCTTGTAGAACAAACACATAAAATTATTGGATTATTATTTGATTTTTGTGGTATGCTGATTATATGATTCTGTAATTTCTGAGATTGCATTCAAATTAAGTGGGTAAGATACTTAAGGTAACTAATAATATATATATATATATATTTTAATGTTATTAAAACGTATCTATAATTTAACCTAATTTCATTCTTTCCTGTAATATACTTTTGAAAAACAAAGGCTTCTGTTCATCAAACTTTGTTCACTTCAAAGTAGGAAGTGAACAACATTTCTATGATATTTTTTACTTACCTCTTCTAGCTCATCTTCAATGTGTCCCATGGGAAGGGCAGCACTAAAGGAGTTTTATATGTTTAAAAGATTCATTTTCCCTTTCACACAGCATATTTCAGCATCTTTAGTCAGTTATGCTCTTTGAGTAGAAAATGAAGCTTTTAAACATGAGAATAACTGTGAAGACTTAAACCACCTAAAGAATTGTAGAGAAGCCCTTCAGGTACTCTGAATGTTTAATATCTTTGTATTCATATCAAACAGTAGATATGGTGGTCTGCTTTCAGGTGTCATTTACCAAAAGTCGTCCCATTTATGTTTCTGAAGAAATTTAAGGCAATGACCGATGTTGTATACTGGCTTTTTAAACTCTACCCAGCATATGTTCATAAGTGTGTGTGTAAAGCACGTCATTCTCCAGAATACATGCCAGCGACAGTTAAACCTTCAATTTAAACAACATAAGGTTTGAACAGCAAGGATTCATCCTGGCTAAAAGCCAGATCAAAATGTACCCTTTATATTTTTTATAATTTTGTGGCCTAATCTCACTATGGCAAAAGGTTCACGAAATAACCACTAAAAGATAATGACATGATTTTTTTTTTCCTATATATAAGTAAAACAAAAGACTTAAATGAAACTGTCCTTGAAAGAAAAACTATAGTGATGCTTACAATTATTAAAGAATGGAGTTACCAACTTGAAGGAAAGATGATAGCAAAAGGTGCTGCAGATCCTTTTAGCATCTTACAGCAGTAAGCTAAATGACATATACGGAGAGAGCTTCCAGTCTCATTCACAGGGCAGATGCTCCTCACCTTGGTGTACAAATAAACTACCTGTACTCAGTTTTGAAGATTTAGTGTGCTGTAGGCTATGTATCCCTTTGTTATATATAAGAGGAATATAGTTTTTTTGTTGTTGTTGTTTTGTTTGTTTTTTTTTTTAAAAAAGGTATTGCAATCAAGTATGAAATGGGTATTATGTTTATTATGTTTTAAGATCATGTGGTATTAGCAGCTTGCTTTCTACATATAGAAGATATTCACAAGTATTTAGTGCCCTGAACTTGTCTCTGGTTTGCTCTCAAACTGCCCAAATATATTTAATATATGTTTTTGTGCAAGTTTCTGTACCTGCATGTTCATTAGATGGTTGTCTTCTGATGATTTTCTCTGGTTAGTGATAAATTTAGCACATGCTATGAGCCCAGAGATTTTTAATGTCTAATGTTTAGGAATTCTGAAGGCTTTGAGACAACCATTGATGGCCTGTAACATAGATGTTGGATTTTTACTCTTGTTTATATTGGAGAGTCAGGCTATTAAGTGACTTCTGTTTCACCTGCTATTTGAGCTGTTTGGGTTTCCTCCTAGCATAAAGGTCCTAATTTTGTAGATGTGTTTGTAATTTGCTTATATTCTCTGGAATTCAAACTGAAGTCTTTATGAAAGAGAAATAAAGACTTAGATATGCAATTGCAGAAGCCCATTTATTCTGTAATTGCTTGAGTTTCGACTGTTGGTTGCATTACAGGATGAAATAATATGGATAAGCCATATGAATCAATACAAAATGAGTCTGAAAAGCTGCTATTCATACCTGTTATCTGACTGCTTTTTAGTCGTACTGTTAGCAGGGTTCAGCTCTCTTTTAAGGCAGTCAGTCACCGTTTTAATTACGTCAAGCGATTGTTCAGCCATATGTACTCGTTCTCTCTGAATTATTTATTGTTGAGAATATTCACAGGTGTTTGATTTATTCAAATTATTTGAATAAATCACACAGTAGTCCTGTCATCTTAATAGGATTTTTATGGACAAAACCGATAAATCTATGCTGACGCTTGTTGTGACTAGAAATTATTTCTGTGGCTTCCAGATGAGAAACCTCTTCACTAAAACTTTGTTCCACTTAACATATACAGTTACATTTAACATATGCTATCATCTGTTTAACAATTACAGTAACAACAACATAAAGGCTAACCAAAATATGACTGTGCTAACCAGAGAAATTTCAGTTCAGTATTAGACTGTGCCTTTTAGGCAGCTTAAAACAAACAACTTCTTTCTTCAACTGACTTCTGCTGATTTAACAATATCAGACTGATGAGATTCAGAGTGATTCACCATTTCCTCTGGCTTCATGCCTAAATCTAGTCAGTCAAGACTAAGACTTCTAAGTGTAGAATATTATGCCAGATGTTGACTAAGCTTATGTTGTGAGGCTAGAAGTCATTAGAGATTTCATATCTCCAGTTAATGTAGCCAAGTTCTATTTTCTTTTGAAGAGAAACATGAAATAAAGGCAGACTTTTTTTTTCCCCTCTGCATTTGCCTCCATTTACTGAGAGGACCTATTATTTACAGTTGAAGATATCTATGTTATTAATGTGGTTTTCTAAACTAATAATACATAAACAAGTTAATTGATTGCACAATGTTTATAAGTTGCATACTTGTGTTGGCTTCTTTCCCCCCATTTTCCTTACAGTTTTTCAAAAATAGTGCTAGAAATTTCTCTTATCATGCAAACATGTTTGTAGCAGCGTATCCTCTGCTGTAACAGCTTAACCAAACTTGCCAGATAGAGAAACAGAGATGAGTATGTGTTTTGTTTATGTTTTTCCCTCTGATTTTTATCCTGGAGAAAAATGGCTTCAATTTGGCTTCAGGCAGCTCTAACTTATCTGACCCCATACTTACTCAGCAGATTGTTCAAGGTCTCACTGCCCTTGGCATCAAATCAGCAATCCCTTTTACATGGATTAACTCTTCTGGGAAACTTATCTAGCACGTGAGGTATCTAGCATATGCTGTGCTTCAGAAGGAGACATGCATACATCTTTCTACCTAATTGTTTCTTCAGTAAATTTATGTCTATTGTGGCTACTGAATGGAAAATGGAAGCTTTCAGGGAATGTTTGAGTTTACTTGCATACTTGCTCACGTTACTGATGGAATAACTGATCATACATTCTGTTTCTCTTGACTTTCTCTCAAATTTCTCTTTCTAAACTTTACTATTCAAAAGTCTAGAAATGATCACTAGTAGTGTGCAGTATTCCTTCAGTCAGTGCGTTGGCATCAGGATACTGAGTTTTATTGTTTGCAACTTTGCTAGTGTAGAAGTAACCTGAAGTGTTTTTGTAGATAGCTTAAAAGACTGATTTAGATAAAACACAAACGCACATCTTAAGTGGTCAGAAACATATTGGAGAGGAATTTTTCTATTACATGAATACAAAACAATGTAAGATGTCCATTGTTTTCACTCTTCCCACTTGTCAGAGCAAGATACAAAGTTTTTTTTCTGCTTTTATTTTCCTTAAATATATTTTGTTTCAAAGCGTGGTGAAACTTTACTATCCATTTTATGCACCATGTATAGGGATCAGACTTAATTTTCACTTCCTAGAAGAGAGAAAAATTACATACTAATTCTTTCTTAAATACACAAAATAGATAGCAATGTAAGGACTTTATACTTAAGGATGAAGATAGACATTTTAATCTGCAATGATCAAAACTCTTTCACTACTTATAATAAGACAAAGAATTTTCCAAAATGCTATCGAAATACCATTGTTCAGCTTCGTAATTTATTTAGGGCTGTTAAAAGTAGGCAACAACTTCTCATCTGTAAACAAAATTCTCAGACTTGGTTAAACTCTATGCCAAAGCTCCACAAGATAAAAAGGAATTATGGTGTAGAATTTAGAACTCTTTAATTTATCCCTGAGACCATTCCATAGATGTCACTAAAACTTATTCTTAAGATTCTTTGTATCTTACAGTTACGGCAAGCAGAACACATTGTTTTCTCAAGTTACAAAGTTGGAATGAAAAAACTGTTCTGTATTAATACAAGCTTTTGGAAATCTTTATTCAGTAACTGACTATCCTGAGTTCTGCTTCAATACCAAAACAAAACAATACCTCAGAAATTGAGGATCTTGGGAGGGCAACAGAGTTTTCAGGAAAAGAAGGAAGTTTCAACCCTAAAATAATAATTAATTTCTGCAGCAGTAGTGGGCTACCTTTTCACTTTACAAAGCTTTTAGTTTGAAAATAGTTCAACTATATTTTGAAGTAATTACTTATCTCATAGTAGCTTACCTACTTTAAACCTAACATACTGCCCCAGTGAACGTTAAACGTTCTCTTAATTTTAGGAAAAAAAAAAAAAAGATTTAATTACTTCTTACTTTGATTTTATTTGGAAGCTAAGCAAAGATGAATCCTTACTTTGCACCTCATTGTGTTTATTCATATATATATATATATATATATATATATATAAGTATATATATGTGCCTGTTGACTGTAGAGGACTAAAAAATATGATTTTCTCCTTTAGATAGATGCTAGATAACCAGTACTGAGTGTTATTGTTTCTTTTTAAAGTCCTGGTTTCTTCTAAACATCTGCATTATACATCTGTATATTTAGATAATACATCTACAAAATAGCATGAAAATTTCAGACCTCTTTGGCTGTCATTGGTTTGTCCATAGAATCATTTCAGCTCAGAAGAAAGTTTGTTGAATCCAGCCTGATACTCAAAGCAGGATCAACCCTGAATTTAGACTGAGTCCTTACCAAGGCTGTATTCAGTTGGATCTTGGAAACCTCCATGGACAGAGATTCCAGAACCTAATAATATGAACTGGCTCTCCTGTTTGGTATCTTTACAGTTATGTTCCTTTTCCCTTATGTCCAGTCAGATCTTCCTTCTTTCAATATATAAGCATAATCTCTTGTTCTCCTACTACATTTTAAGTAATGAGCCTGGCACTTTCTCTTAAGGTTTGTTCCAGCAGGCTTACTTATGTTTTGAGTAGAAACACTTTAATTCACTTAACTGTTTATTATTTGCAAGTGAAGGTTTCATCCTGAAGTTCAGGAGGGAAAAGAGTTTCATTATGAATTATAGCTTCCTTATCTTTTTATCTCAAATAACTTGCTGATTTTTTGGTAATGTGGATTGAAGCTCACTCAGATGGGAGGCTTTTTCTTGTCTATTCCTAGCTTCTTCTGAATTGTTAAAGTATCATCTGTAGCATATTAAGCAGCAGGTGGTCAATAGGCTATGCACTGAAACACATCATCATGTTGCTGCAGTGCAGATTATTCTTGGTCATCAGAGAGAACATAGATATCAGAGTTGGTTATCAAAAGCCCCCACACAGTTAATGAACCATGTTTCAATTTTCACGGCCTTTACTGCATTGATACCAGCTAAGGGATGCAGCAAATTACTGTCAGGTTGTTTTGCCAGAACTGTTCCCTTTTCAATATAGCCCATGTTGGTTTTCCAGTATGGTCAGGAGGTTATTTGCTATATGAAATGTCCTCATTTTATCAGAATCCATTTTTTTTTTCCTATGTTGATTTTTATTGGTAACCCTTCATATTCTTATATAAATGTGATATATCAGTATGAATGGAGTAGTGACCATCTCCCAGGTCATGTAATATATGATTAAACCAAATCAATTTTTTTAAAGCTCTGGGTGTTATCTTTATTTTCCTATTAAGGCCATTAAATTATATATTTTTTCAAATTGACTATTATTTTTTTCTAAACAGGTATCAGCAGTCACTTCACTGGAAGTCAGTTCTTGGAAGTCTTTTTCTGATGAACACTTTCAGTACATATGCATCATAAGACAGGCCTTTCAAGAGGATTCAGGATTGACCCAAGCCCAATCCTGTTAGGATCACTGAATTACACTTTTTCTGTGATGGAAGGTTGTGTGATTATAAAAAAAAAAAAATAAAAAATTCCTGTTTAGTCTTTTCAATGAGCTGACAATTAAGAGGCTTGAAATTAGGTAAGGCAGATGCAAAGTAACTTGTTATAACTAAATTTAAAAAAAAAAAAAAAAAGCTAGTTGTTTATCTCCTTTCTTTAAGTACTCATCTGTCATTTACCTGTCAGTGATAACCTCAAAACAACTTAGCTGAATCTAATCTTCCAAGCATTTACACTCTTATTGGTGGATATATACAACAGTATTTAATTGCTGCTACCTTTCTACATCCTTAAGCTCTGGTGCTAGATAAAATCCCAGAACTGTGAACAAGGATTCTCAGAATAGGTATTTTCCTTCCTTTTTTTTCCTTCTCCTGATTTCTTTGGCTTGCTCTAAGGTCTTCTAAGCTATCTCTATGGGTTTCTTTTATGCCAGTGTAGATCAGGAATGAAAGAATTTAGCCGTACAGGCAAACAGGGATTCAAGTCTTTCTAGTTTTAGCAGATCCTTGAAATTCATACTCCCACAACCCACAGGAGTGCCTTAACCACCAAGCATTATCCAATGACTGTCTTGTGTAAAATGAATAAAGAACTGCTGGGCTGGGATACAAGATTCTCTGTCTGACTGTTACAATCACAGGAAGGAGTCTTGAATTGTTTTTTTTGTTCCCAGGACTGGATCGGTAATATGTGCTCAGTAATAGAAGAAATGCACAGAATATCCAGAGAACAAGCATTCTACTTTCATAGCTGTGTCTGGCAGTAGGATACAGATTTATGCTTTCTCAGGCTTGTATTTTTTCTTTGACCCCTGTGTGTTTGTATTCTTTCTGCAATACGAAGAAGCCGGTGTTGAATCCTTAACATTCATGTCATGGTTTTGGCTGGGACAGAGTTAATTTTATTTGTAGAGGCTCATGCAATATGTTTTGGATTTTTGATTAAAATAGTGGTGATAACACTGGTGTTTTACTTGCTGCAGAGCAGTGCTTGCACAGAACCGAGGACTTTTCTGCTTCTGGTGCTTCCCTAGGGGTGCACCAGGAGCTGGGAGGGGACACAGCCAAGACAACTGACCCAGGCTGAGCAAAAGGATGTCCCACACCATATGGCATCATGCTCAGCAATAACAGCTGGGGTAAGGAAGGGCGTTTGGAGTGATGGTGTTTGTCTTCCCAAGAAGCTGTTATGTGTGTGATGAGCCCTGCTTTGCTGGAAGTGTGTGAACACCTGCCTGCCAATGGGAAGTGGCAAATGAATTCTTTGTTTTGCTTTGCTTGTGCTTTACCTAGGAAACTGTCTTCATCTCAACCCGTGAGTTAACACACTTTTACCTTTCTGATTCCCCCATCTCACCTGTTGCTGGGATGAAACTCTTAATGGCATTACGCTTCTCTGAAAGAAGTGAAATGATAATTATTAGTGCATCAGGCTTTTACTGTCTTACAGAGTCAACAGATTTTCTTTCTTCTATTTCCTTTAATATATTAATACTAGAATTCCTATACATAGAAGAAAATACTTATTTCTTTTACATGATGAATGATTTATGAGATCTCTAGCTTTGCACCGTAAAAATATGGGCTTTTTGCCCTATAGCATAGTTTGAAATCCAAGTAGATGCCTAATTTTCTTTTAAAGATCAACAGAATGAGGCATATTTTTATTTGCTGATATTCTCAGGTGCAAAGGAAACATCTTTCCTTCTTGTTTGTTGAGTAAGATCTGTATAGAAATAGTTAAATGTCGTGTTTGGGATAAGAATTAAAAAACAAAAGTTTATCTGAGAGGAAAAAGGAAAGGGAAAAGGAAAGTAAGCAGTCATCTTGGGTTGACATGGTTCTACAATGAAGAGAGGGCAATATTCCTTGGACCATCCTTCAGTTTTATTTTGTATCTGTTATTTTCATTTTAATTTCCTACAGTGACGCATGGCTTTTATGTAAAAGTATGTGTTAATTTTTTATATTTTTTCTAATAGTAACATATAACAATGTAATTTCCCAATTCGACATTGGGTTTCTTATCTTATGGATGTGTCAGATGTTCAGCTTCTCATCAGGCTTAGCAATATTACTTTTCTGCAGTTAAATTAATCTTTTAGCTCCCCCACACTTCTCCCCTCTCTCCCCCCCCATCCCCCAGGCTCACAGAACATGTTGTTAATGAAAGTACCAGCTGACCTGAGTACAATTTTGGTAACTGAAGTGTCCCTAATATAAGTGAAAACTTGTGTTTAATGGATATAGTTCTGCATAAAATTAAAGAATTCCCTCTTTTAAGATTATACTCCCAATTTATTTTCTAAATAAGAGAGAGTTGTGGAAATGGAGTCAACTTTAACCTTCTAAGTGGTAGAAACTGGCCAAACAAATTATGAGTATACATTCTGAAATTATTTAAGTTGACTACACTTTTAAATTAAAATGGAAAAAAAATTAAAAATGCTTAAATATACTCTGAAGCATAATTTACTGACTTCAAATGAAGCAGAGTAAGCACCTGTAAATAGTAAACTACTACTTTAGATGGTTGAGCATTGAGTTAGATACGTAACTTTGGGGTGGGAGTGAAGAAAAAAAATCTTATTTTTTTCCTTGATATTAAACAAAATAAATCTGCTAATCAGAATAGCAAAAGTTTAAACAACCACTGCCCCCCGCCAAAAAAACAAACCACTCAAGCTAGTATTCACCTGCTAACCATGGCCACCTGTTCTAGCACACTGCAAAAGCTTGGTCCCTATAAGTTTCTCTTTATTAATCATGCTGCATTATCTGGCCATCTGCTACATCTCCCAGAAGAGCAGCATTCCTTTGGTGCTGCCTGCTGTTTTATAACAGTCTTTCATCCTCAAAAGAAAAGTGAAGGAATAGGTGGAAATTCCAGTAATCAGTTACTTCAGGAAGATTAGCCAATATGACTAAAAGATGCCATGTGAGTGATTTGAGAACGTTTTTATTTTTTTCCCTGTGGCTTTATGGTCAATGCTTTCAAACTATTTATCTTAGCAGAAAGACTGCCTTCAGTTTATACTCAGTAACAGAGAAGAAGAAAAATTTCACAGAAAATGATGCACTGTGTATACTTCCCCTTTCTTGTGCATCTGTTTCCAAGAAGTCTACGTAATGGGTAAACTGCTGGGATGCATTGGTATTTCTAGATGAGCATCACCTACTTTTTCAGGTCTGCTGTGTTCTGTGCTGTCTGGATATCAGTAAAATGGTAGGTGTAGATGGCTTGCAATTTCTCTTTGACAATTTTTTTCCCCTTGTGGAACTCAGTGCACTTGAATACCTCTAGGATCAAACAAGCTGAGTGTACAAGCAACAGTCCATTTTGATTGCATCTTCAATGCAATCCCACAGACTTCTGTAAAAGTAAAGTGTAAGAGAATTTGATTCTTTATTTCCAGGCTCTATTATAAGTTTGTCTAACTCACAAATAAAGTAGACATAGTCAACATACTAACTAACTATTTCTAACTATTTTCTAACTATTGCACATGTGTTACTTCACTGGCATTTTTTTATATTGGAAAAAAAGATATTAAATAATGGACATGAGTGTATGAAACATTAGGTTGCGTTATGCATTTTATTTGTCTAATGCAGCTTTCTTCACAGCTTAGCCAGGGTTAAATAACTGGGTTGTAATATGTGCAGGAAAAGAATCCTTCATGGCATTCATACAGCTGTGCTGTAGTTTCAACAGACAGTAGTTTGTACTTGCCAGCTGGATAGCTAGCAGACAGATTTTGGGGGCAGACCACCCAGTGTGGTTAAGTAGATAGAGAAAGCAGAGTAATTTACTAATCCTCTTTTACAACAATTCAGCTGTTTTGTTCTCATCCTTTAGGGGTGTAAGGTGGATTAAAAAAATCTGGAATGTTTTACAGATTAATTATTTTTCAAATGCGGGTACTTAAGGCTAGATAAATTAGCCAAGATCCCTCAGTACCTCCTAATGTTTTTACAGCACCTTGAAACGTGCATTTTTGGAATTTATGTTGCACATGACAAACACAGGTGAAAAATACTTGGTCTTTGAGTTGGTGATGTCATTTTTCCTGTGATTCATTAATATGTTAGCAGACATAAAATGTTCTGAATGTGCTAGTGCTCAAGATATTACTAGCATAAAGAAAAAATAGGTCATTGACTTTAATAGCCTACATAATCAGATCAAACTTATTTCTTTGACTACCATAAGTTGCCTTGGAGTGGGGGATAGGCTTGGGTTAGCCTTCAGATAAATGACATCCAAATCCACCTCAATGAGTTTGCCAAGTCCTTTTTTCATGCTAAAGTTATTAAGAAACAAAAGCAATAATATTTATGAGCAACGCTGTACTTGTGTGTAGGAGGGGAACATCTAAGATTATGATCCCTGTTCCCAAGGCTATTTTTGTGTATCATGCAGTTGTTGGATAAAATACTAAGATACGAAACAGAATTCCCATTCACTTCCATCCCTCCCTGTACAGTACAACCAAATGTTTTAAAAACTAATATGGAAACTTTTTTTTTTGTTTCCTATTTCTCTTGCTCAGATAGACTTGACCTTGCATAAACAATGTCAAAAGTTTGGCAAGAGGCAAAGGACCCTCTGCGTAGATTGCATTGTGTTTGTGTATCATCATCAGGGAAGTGGAATGTGATATTTAGCACCCTCCAAATGAGAAGAACTGAATGTTTTTTTCCCCAATCAGAATGAATGTTTTGAGTAGTCTTCCCTTCTTCTTGTAAACAGAAAAAACACCTGTTTTCTAAAAACTGATTAAGTGTAGCTTAATCAGTTTTTGAGCACTTAGCTCATACATACTTAGCCTGGTCAAAGCCAATGTAGCTCTGAGTGTGAAGGTTCATGCTAGAACTTGCAGGTTTAAAGTAAAGCTCCTCAGAATGTCAAATTACTTCCACACCCCCCCCCCCCCCTCAATTTTCGTCTTTGTGTGTGACTATGTCAGCATTTTATTTTGGTGCAAGGGTGTCATGAGTTAATGAGCTTTTCTTCCTATTGCAGTGTTGCTGTGCAGAGGACTGAAGTCATTTAGAGAGAAACTAACCAGAACAGGAACACATGTAATGTGCCCCAGCTGCTAGTGGGCTTTTAGTTCATAGGGCCGGCATAACTGGAAGCAAACTTCTGCTAACATACTGTGTCATTGTGGGACTGTCATCAGTTATGATTTATTTTATGTGACTGCATTTAAAAATGTAGAATGTACTATCTGGATTCTGGCCACCAATTTTGTGGTGCTTTTTCTGTGCCCTTTTCTTCTTTTCCTCATCTGTGTTTCAGTTAAATATTTAGTCAATAGAAGTGTCCAGGATTTTAGTGTCATATGAACATCATCTGACCTCTTGGTCATTGACTAATTTGCTTAGAAAAAATCAGTAAATTCAGTATTTTTATGCCGGTTGTACAGAAGTCTTTAAAACTTCCTGAAGAGGGGATATGGAGAGGGAAGTTCCAGTCTCTTGTCCCTGGTAACTGATGACAGGATGCACAACGCTGCAGCATGGGAGGTTCAGACTGGACATTAGGAAAAATTTATTTACTGTCAGGGTGGTCAAGCACTGGAACAGGCTTCCTATACAGGTGGCTGATGCCCTATGCCTGCCTATGTTCAAGAGGCATTTGGATAATGCCATTGTTATATGCCTTAAAAGGTCAGCCCTGAAGTGCTTGGGCAGGTGGACTAGATGATCTTTGAAGGTCTCTTCCAATTAAACTGTCCTATATAGATGGAAAGACTGTTTTTGAGATCTTTCAAATGATGAAAGAAACTGCGTTGCCTTTTTTTAGGTAAAGATGCATTCCTGAACACTGAGATTGCATTGAATCAAAAGTAGAATTTGTGTTTTGAATGCGTTTTAAAGTATACTGTGTGCATGTCTGTGTGCAGCCCATTTTTATTTACATGACAAAGGAAAAAATTACTTAAAAGTGTAGTTAAACCATGTGCAAAACTTAAACAATAAACAGTTTTATAACTTAAAACTCATTCCTTATTTAGAGGTAACACGTTGCTATAAATGTTGACAGTTAATGGACAACTCCCTACAACTGTGATAAATAACATATACTTGGGTATGAGTAGATTAACCTCGTCATCCCTTTTCTTGCCCAGTAATGGATTACTTGTGGTGAACACAAGATGTGTCCAATTTTCAATATTTTCTTAGTTTTTAATACTGTACATGTGTAACAGTAGGAATAATCCTGGTTTATCATAGTAGCATTAAGCCAGAGTGCACTGCTATATTACGAAACCTATATATTTTGCTTTTGAGCAGCAGAGACTGGCAGGTAATTACATAACTCAATGTGTATGCTCAATTTGAATTAAAAAGTGTCCAGGAGTTTAGTCACTCTCCTTTGTGAGAGAGAAGAGTCAGGCAATAATGGAGTATCGCATACTAGCTTCTCATTTCATCTTTCTCAATCTGCATTGCTTTTCATTTAGATCAAGATATTTCATGTATTTTGTTATCTGTGATCTGTAGTTTCTCATTAGAAAAGAGAACAGCTGCCAGCCACCTAGCAGGAGTTGACTCTGCATCTGCCCTCACTTCAAGTACACTGTTGCAGTGGGTAAAAAATAAAACATATACTTATGAATGATAAATGGAATAAAATCCATCTACACAACAAATTTCAGTGGGCTATACAGAGACATGTACATATTGTAAAATGAACTAGTAACAGATGCTGGCTTAATCAATTATCAGTAGTAATTTAAATAATGAGACTTCCCTTTGTAAGCAAATTTATTAAAGGAAGATGAGTGGAATAAATAAATGGAGAAAGATGAACTATGAGAATCTATTGCAAGATTGAAAGAGGAGTATGTCACCATTTTAGATAACAATAGGATATGATATACTTGCTTATATAAGTGCCTAACAGCAAAAAAGTCATAGTGGGATTTCCAAATCAGCATTTGGAAATGGGTATACAGTACATAGTAAACGAGTGTCTTGGTCTGGGGCTCCTGTATTAAGATAGACAATAAGACCTAGAACTTGGATACGCGTGTTGTATTTTACATTTTGTTTCTTCTAGCGGATTGGTTCTGCAAATCCTTAGTTACAGTAGCAGGTCCACTGACTTAAATAAACGTGTTCATAAACAAGAAGATATTTCTATCAGCAAATGTCAACATGATTTGGCTGTCTGCAGTATACAAAGCATTACATGACACGGTTCAGTTCAAGCTTCGGTAAGAAAGTGAGCACTGGATGGTCAGCAGTGCTGTGAGTTGCTGTGAACCAACAGGCTGTGGATATTGCCATCCCATGAACAGTCTAGCAAGGCCAGATAGAAACAAATTAGTTGACTGGTCATTTTTTCATCTCTGTCACATGAAAAAATACATGGATGACTATCAAAATCATCAGTGTTATAAGTCTCAGTACTGGAAAATGTATCAGTGAAATTACAAACCATGTGGTTTTGCTGAGCTGAATTCTGGCTAAAGATCTGATTGTATCAGAGGACAGCCTTCATAATTCAAGCCCCACATCTTCTGTTACTCTTGGAAAACTTTACTCAATGTGCATATGAAGGATAGTGAATAAAGATAAAGCATTTTAGCAACTGAGTGATGAGATCACATCGTATGCCTTCCCAGTAAAGTCCCTTAGTGTGAATTCCATGATAATACATGATATGGTATGTTATTTCTGTCGCACAAGTGTCATGAAAATATGGTAAGACAAATTCTTCAGTCAGTGTTACCCAAACAATCTAGTTCATTCTGCTTAGAGCTCATATGACATCCTTATTTTTATAGAAAGTATGTTAATACACAGAAAGTATGTTGTTAGTGAATAATACAACAGTGTATAAACTACCTGATCTGCTATTTGATCCTTTCCTGTACCACAAAGTACTGATCATTTTCATGTATTTCAGAATGTGCCCAGATCCAGAAAATCCAGGGAAAAGGTCTTTTTTCTGCTGGACTAGTATCATTACGCATATTAAAAAATACAGATAGTTCATGTTGCTTGAGTTTTAAAAGACGAGTCTTTGTTATATAGCATCATGGTGGGACAAAATAACTTCAAATGAAAATGTTTCTCTGTACTGACTTTTCCACAGCAGTATGTAGTTTCTTCAGCTTTTTGTATATCACCTGTTTAAGGGTCTGCAATCTTCTTAATTGAAACAAGTGATTATCCTTTCATTGTCAAAATGCAGGTACTATATTAAGCACCTCAAGACCTGAGTTGAAGTGGTATGTAATTTTTGGATAAATATGAAAACAATCATAGGTTCAGCAGCCTTTGCGTTTTCAAAATGCTGGACTGACATTCATGACTATGAATTTACAGGCATAACTTCACAGAACCATAGAATTCTTTGACACAACTTTGCAATGAGTGATAAAAGATGAGTGATGGTTTCTGGGTGTGAGAATTCAAGTGTTACCACATTTCAATTATATTTCACAACATAGTCTCTCGTGATCAGATCTATGTTCTTTTCTTCTCCCAGACATTACCAGTTACAGTAATTCCTTACAAACCTTTCTGGAAAATACTAATAACGTCCTTTTATATTATCTCTAGGATAAAGTATAAAACGGACCTCAGTTCAGAAGTCACATCAGTCAAAACTCTGTTTAAAACACTGTTTATTTATTTTTCCCTATTATGTTTGTCAGTGAACACAGAGTTGGAATAAAAATCATTAACTAAAAATCAGAACAACTCATACTTTCTAGAAATTCTAAAAAAAAAAAAAAAAAAAAATGACGAAAGAAGACGTAGTTTTGGAAACAAATGTCAATGGTGTGAAAAACTGAGTTTTTGGGGGAGAAGGAACTTTTATTTTTATATAGTGTTCACTTAAAATTATACTGAAGAAGTCTTATCTGTAGAGTTCTATTATTTTTAATCTAGAATGAATAAATATTCTATAATATTTTTTTGTTTGTTTGTTTTCAAGATAGGCAACAATGAATAGTGTGGAAGGCAAGACTGGCATCTAAAATAACTGTTTTCAGAGAAACCTGCCCTCACAGATATCACTAAAAATATGTTAATCTCTAGACTTAAGAATAAAATGACCTAATAGATCTCAGTCTTACAACTACTGAATTCTACATGTATAGAAGATGTTTTTTCTCATTCTTCCTATACAAAAGCTCTAGTAGGTCAGTAGATTTTATACTATACATGTATCCTTTTATTTATTTGTTTTTTATTGAACACTTTGACAAAAATTCACAATTTCCAGTAGTACAATGTGATTTTCTTGTTTTTATTAGGGCATCTATGTTTTTGAAATAACTAATCAGTATGCATTCCATGTGGAACTGTAACAAAACTGACATTTTGAAATACGTAATTTCATATTCAAAATTGTTACTGGATATGCCATAGCCAGAATAAGATCCTGAAAGCAATTAATGTGACTTCATTTATCAAACGTAGCAGAGTTGTTATAAATACTTCTAATAGAGTCATAATAGTCAAAATGGATTTGCATGTGTGTAGATACACAGCATTCCAGAGTTATGCTGTGCTGCTAATGTAATGAAACTGTTCCTTCTTGTCATTATTTGAGCATAATCACAGCTATTTTCATGTTGAGGAAGCTTCTGAGAGCTGTAACATCCTCCAAATATTGTTAAGACCATGAAAGTCAAGGAAACTGATACGTAATATAAATACACTGTTGCAGGCTGTTAGTTTTTTTTTTCCACTTACTAACAAAATTGCATGCTATGTAATGGGATGGTTTTAAGTGGCCTTGCTACTGTTCTAAATATCTAAAGATTTGTATGCTTCATGACAAAGATCTTTCACAAAACTGACAAGGAATAGCAGATATACAAAGTGTTTACAAAGGTCCTAGGGAAATACATGTAGATGCCTTCTGAGCTTTTATTTTTTAGATAGGATAAAATCTGGGAAGAAAATTTTTTTCATTTATCCCTTAGCATAAAAAATATATTAAAATGCAGAAATTTAGCAACCTCTAATTTTGATTTCTTCATTTTTTTCAGTATTTGGGGTTTTCTTTCTTTCTGTGGTGGTTTTACCGTGCTGGGCAGCTAAACACCACAACCGCTCTCTCACTTCCCCTCCTTAGATGAGGAGGGGGAGGAGTAAAGCAAAGAACAACTCACGGGTTTGAGATAAGGATAATTTAATTAAAGGGAAATAATAATAATAATAATTAAAGAAAGATTATTATGAACTAACAATTTAACTAAAGGGAAATAAAAAAGGAAAGGGGAAAAGGGAGGGGGAAAGGGAAAAAAAAATAAAGGGAGGGAAAAAAACAAATAAAACAAATGAAGGCTATGTGGAAGTGCAGAGGAAATAATTTACTCTCTACTTCCCACAAATGAACGATGATTGACCACGTCCTTGAAGCAGGGCCTCAACACACATAGCCGGTGTTCGGGAGGAGGACTGATGTTTTCACGAGAGCCCACCCCTCCCCTCTTCTTCCTGTTTCCACCTTTTATTGCTGAGTGTGACATCGTATGGTATGGGATATCCCTTTGGTTGGTTTAGGTCAGCTGCCCTGGTGATGTTTCTCTTCTCACTTTTTGCCCACCCCCTCAGAGGGTTAGACAGAGTCCCGATGCTGTGCCAGCATTGCTCAGCAGTAGACACAACACTGGTGTGATAACACTGCTGTTCCAGCTACAAGTGCAGAGCACAGCACTGTATGGGCTGCTGCAGGGAAAGTTAACATTCCAGACAGACCCAGTACACTTTTTTTTTTTTTTTTAACAAACAACAATTTGAGAATTTCTTAGCATGATTTTTAGAAATTCTAAGCATCCTGAATATTCACTGTTTGTGTTAGTGGAGGTTCTGAGAATTCAGAAGACATGAAATTAATGAGCTTTCAAATCAGCAAGAATGAGCTGCCCCAAGATGGAAGGCTCTTAAAATCAGAGATTGCCTAATAAAATTTCTTTTATATGAATAATTTTATTATTAAATAAAAGGTTACAATTCACATTTTTTTTGAAGTAATACCAAATCACTTTAAATATGTTAGACATTTTAAAAGAACATTCTATAGATGAAATTGAGAATGCAAATAGAAGCATTTTGTGATAACTTTAAAAAAAAATACATGTAAATAAAATCTTGTGCACACTACTGAACTAAAATAAAAATATAAACACCAATGAAATTGTTCAAACTATACAATAGATTATTTTGGACACTCAATATATATATTAAAAAAACAACTGTCACTTTTCTAACTGTTCTACTCTAACCTTTTAAAACACTAGTCAAAATTAAATTGAAACAAAGTTCCTATAGAAAAAGGAAACCTAACATTTTCCATATGCACTGTCATATTCCATCCCTTTTCTAATATTCATGTTTCATGTACATTCAGTATTGAATGAATCTAGGCTTGAGGATACAAAAGATAAAATCAACCTAAGTATTTCTCACTTGGTTTGATATTTGCTCTCTACACAGTATTTGCTTAGACTAAGCCAACGTGTTCTATGGAAAAAAAGTACAAATTCCGAGGCAAATAGTCAAAATCTCGATTTTATTATGCTATTGGTTATAGAACTGCCACAGAAGCATATGATCTTGGCAAGGCTGAGATTTGCAACACTAAACCCTGCTACAGCTTTGATCGTTTCAATGCTAGAACTTAGTGTTGGGAAATCCTACCCTCGGCGTTGAGTTAAAGATGTCAAATGAGACTGGGAATGGAAGACCTCAGTTTACCTGCAGGCCATCTACAGCAATGGTAGTGTTAATGCATGCTTTTCTGTGCTACCCATAAACTAGTTCATTCAAGTCACTGTCTTTCACAGAAAAAGTTTTGCAGAAAGTTAAATGTGTAAGGTGTCTTAAGAAATCAATCATTGTTCTTGATACATCTGTATACACAAAAGGAGGTTAAACTAGACAATTCTTAGTTGTTTTTCTGTTTTTAATTGAACCTATAGTACTTTGAATCAAATGAGAATTTCATTAATCTAAAACATATTTTGTAATGTTTGTTAAACAGATTTTTTGCTTTTTGTTTTTTGCTATATACATACATTTCATAAAATCTTAATTGCGCAGGTATAACTTACATGAAAATCAAGCAGTTGCATTAAAAACAAAACATAACTAACGTTTCAGTACATTTGAAGTACGGAGCTATAAATTCTTCACATCTCAACTACAGAATATTTAGTAATGATCTAATGACTTAGCTTATTTTTCTTTATGGTTATGAATTTTGATTTATTAGAATGTTTAATTAGCAATGGATCAATTTATTATTTGCATGATGGCCATTACTCATAGCTGCAATACCTACCACTTGTAGTGTGCCTGCAGAAGTGCATGTTATGTCTTTTTTATATGCAAATATTGTATATCTGTAGTGTGTCTGCAGTTTTCTGTAATACACCTGTAAGTGTATGTGCTAACTAACCTTTTACAGGTGCTGCCACCAGATTTACCAACTCTCCTGATTTTGTCATGAATCTCACAATATTTGGTGTGTGTGTGTTACTTAAGTCAGACTCAGTCCAGTCTCATGTTTATTGGTACTGAACTGGTATATTTGTCCTAATTCCTTGTGAATCTGTGTTTCATTACTTTAATTTGTGCTAAAGTCACCAAGTTAACTGCTATTTCAGTCTACTTTCTCATTACAAGTGAGATTGCCCTGACCCAACATGCTTACCATAGTCCATTGTTCTCGGACCCACATTTGTATAGATCATTAATTATTTAGGGAACAGAGACTGGAAAATTAATCTTCCATGATGAAGGTGAGTGCCCTGAACATTTGGGTATAAAGCTAACATCCTTCTGCTCTACATACCTAGTAAATAGGTTGTCATACAGAATGGAAGGTCAGAGGTGTTAAAGTGGTCTCTCATTCCAGTTACTACTGGGCTAATGAGAGATTCTCCAGTGGCCTGCCCTTCAAATGGACTTACCTCAGTACCTAAGGTTATCTAGCAACAACAGCTTCAATGAAAGCAGTCTGCATCCAGCACCCTGCATCCAGCTTGAATTTGGTCTTAAAGCCCAACATGCCTTTTTTTGCTTTCTGTATTTGCTTTTGGCTTGCTTGGCAGGTTCCTGATCAACTTTGTGTTATCTTTAAATAATGTTCATAGTTAGCTAACTCTATGCTTACTGTATGGGTAACATAGTACACTGTCATGACAGAAGCTTATTATGTTAAATCATTTTCTGCAAGTCTCCAGTGGCCTTTCAAAGGAAGAAATATTTTAAGAAAAAGTCCTCTGACTGACTGAGCTGAAGTTGACCTGTAGGTTGATATAGCATCAAATATAACTGATTGAGGATGTAGCCTTGTTCAATATGAGGAATTCTTTGGACTCTCTCCTATTAGCAAGGAAATGGTGAGAACATATAATCTGTGGAATAACCATGATGTTGTCAGATTAGGTATAGAATAACCCCAGATTCATAAATCATTAGAGGTGACAGAGTGGGCACATAAAATCAAGCTCTTCAGGGCATATTTCCAACTTTCTCTTTTTATTGAGTATATATTTATGCTCACATATATTTATGTGAGCATCACCAACAATCACATATTCTTTAATTAATGCTAACGTCTTGCTATGTAACAGTTAAGCTAGGAACTGAACCATCATCAGCATGTAACATAAACATAGACTTGTTTAGATATTTGAGGGACTTTTTGGCCCCAAACAGGCAAGACAAAAGTAATAAAATAGGTTTTTGTTTGTTGGACAGAGTATGAGTGAGTGACGCAC